ACATATATTATAAATTTAAAGACTAAAATGTGTATATTTAAATAAATTTAAGTGAATTACCTAATAAAAAAGAAAAAAATATTTTTTATAATTTAAGATAAAAAAGTATAAAAAAATTTAAAGATTAAAAATATTCAAAATTTAAAAACCTAAAAACCCACTTTAGCCGAAAAAAAAAACTTTATCCGAAAAAGAGAATTGAATAGAGACTATAAATGTTTAAAATTAAAAGTTTAAGGACTAAAAATGTCCTTTAACCCAAAAAAAAAAAAAAACCACTTTATCCGAGGGAGAGAATATCCTCGGGCTCATTTCTCTGGCAAGATTCCTTGCAAATCAAGAGCAGCAACCGCGTATTGTCACCACAGCATCACTCAAAGCTCGAAGCTTCCAGGTGATTCCCTCCATCCATTATAGAATTACCAAAATCATAGCAACCCCAGAAAGCTTCCAACTTTTTTCTGTTTACTACTTTTAATCGTCAATTGATTCCGGAATATTGAAGCAATATATAAACCCAGATCCCCCATCCCAGCTTCTCACCCTCAGCTCTAATCTTTCAATTCAGGTACCTTTCAATTCAATCTAAAGATATTCTGGGATTTTTCTTTTTTTCCTTTATTGTTTTGGTTATGAATTCACTGTTTTCAAGTTAATTTACGATAGGATAAATTTAGGATCTTGAAAGTCAACATCTTTTAATCTCTTTCTCCTCCTAACATAGCCGCCGCCGCCGCAGCCGCAGCGGTAGCAAATTCCGGTACTTCATTTTGGTTGCAACGTCGGGTTATTTTATCTTTCTTTGATTAGTTTTATTTCCTGTGTCGTGTTGGATTTGTTCTACCATGACAGTTGGCATAAGGAAAGCTGTTTATTGTGTGTAATGTGTTGGAATTATCCAATAATGGTTTGAAGAGTAATTAGGACGTATGCTTAGCCAAGAAGGGTTTTTTTCTTTTTTCTGCTTTAAGCGGTGAGAGCGGCCTTTACGTCAGTAAGCTCTCCTATTTTGTTTCTGTTTGTTTTTGGTGAGGAGAACTTCCGATCCGCTTAACTTTATTACTAAAAATACATGCATTTTTGCGTCTTGATTTTGGTTAGCATGGATGATGCTTGTGTTGTCTTTTAGTTTATAGAATTTGGGTAAGAAGGGGAAGGTAGAAACTCTGTTTGGGTTTCTGTTGAGTGGATCATCATTATCTGCTTGTTGAAGTTTGTAATTTCTAAGTGTTTGCTATATTTATGTTGATTTTGTTTGGTTTGATGGATTTTATGCCTTTGTAAGGGGGAGGAGGGAGGTGGGTTCCTTTTTTTATGATATTTGTGGAAGAAAGGGCAAGTCAAGGGCTTGCTTGGAGATTTCATTTTACCTTATAAAATCACAATTTTTTCTGCTTGTTCAATTACTCATTTGAGTTTTGGGATTTCTTTTTTTAAGTTACCTTGGTTTTTGCTTTGTATTGTAGGTTCTGAAATTTATTGGTGTAGTTGATTTGGTGTGCCAGAAAGGAAAAACATAGTCTTGTTAAGAGTCAGGGAATCTCTTAAGGTATTTGGATTCATGGGAGGAAGTATTTCTAAGGACGGTAGTTTGAGGGAGAACTCATCATTCCGTTCCGCTTCATCTTCATGGGATCCTCAATCGGAATATCCTCAGACAACACATGATCAAGAAAATCAGGATTCTAATTATATGCCACAGCAGAATGATGCCCCACCGCAGTATTACCAGCCTCCACCTCTGCAAGAGCATTATGATGATAGAAGGAGATTCGATAGGAGGTACTCAAAAATTGCAGACAACTATAATTCCTTAGAAGAGGTAAAGATCACGTTTTGGATCCATTTGCTACTTTTTATGGTTATTATGCTCTCTCTAGATTGATTTCTGATGTTGAGGAACCTAGGAATTGCAGCCACATTTTTGCCTTTTTGATCGGCAAAAAAAAAATATATCTTTATTTTGAACCATTATTTCTCTATTTAGGAACATTTGGATTGGTAAATTATTTTAATATTTTCTAGTTTACTTTTGTATGCAAATTCCACCAATCTGGCATTAAACGATGGCACACCACATAAACAAAAACCATATTTCTTATATCTGGTAATTGTCAAATTTTAAACATGTTCCTTAAGATAGTAAGAAAATGACTACAAATCTTGAATAACTGCAATACATCCCTGCCATGAATTAATCATGGAACATTTGCACTTGTTGTTACAATTTGACTTTGACATCTTTAAAGAGTTTTATCTGTGATGATTGCAGGTTACTGCGGCTCTTGCAAATGCAGGCCTTGAATCTTCCAATCTCATTGTGGGTATTGATTTCACAAAGAGTAATGAATGGACAGGTAAATCTCTATCTGAAATGATTAAAATTTATTTTACAAGGCATAAGGGAGGATTGCTGAATATGGGTTGGTCTGCAGGTAAAAAGTCATTCCATGGAAAAAGTTTGCATCATATTAGTGATGGCTTAAACCCCTATGAACAAGCAATATCTATCATTGGGAAGACGTTAGCTGCATTTGACGAGGATAATATGGTTCCCTGTTACGGATTTGGAGATGGTATGTTCGATATTTGAATATTTTTTCACAATGATTTCCATTATTGAAATGTATATGATGACAATTACTTTTGTTTACTCTCAGCATCAACAAATGATCAAGATGTCTTCAGTTTCTACTCAGATGAGAGATTCTGTCATGGATTTGAGGAAGTTTTAAGCCGGTATAGAGAAATTGTGCCACATCTACGGCTTGCAGGTTTAAACCATACTCCAAAGTTTTCACCGTTGTTTGAGTTACCTAAAGAATCTTATCCAATTGTATTTCTTATTTATCTTTTGACAGGACCTACCTCTTTTGCTCCCATTATTGAAATGGCAATGACCATTGTTGAGCAGAGTGGTGGCCAATATCATGTGTTAGTAATAATTGCAGATGGGCAGGTAAGAGAAAATGTGCTGCATAAATGGCTACTCTGCTGTGTCTTTTTCCTTTTTTCCTTTTTTTTTTTTTGATTTGGCTGTACAACAAGGGATAGCTCTCCTCTTCCCATAACCCTTCCCCACCCACCCCAAAGATTTGAACCTGAGATATGCAACTTGGAATCTGAGGTTCTTAACCACTTGAAACAGCCCCTTGGGGGCCCTTGCTGTGTTGTTGTAAAATAAAAAAAAGGAGAAAAACAGGCAAGAGGAGAAATTGTATTAAATAATGCTAATAAAATGCTTTCCTATCCCACTTATGAGTTTTCTTTCTGTGAACCTTATTTTTTCCTTGTAGTAATTGTGGTGGAAAATTTGCTGCAAATTGAATGTTTTGTATCATTAACCCCAATGGTTCTCTCAGGTAACAAGAAGTGTTGAAACTGAGCATGGCTATCTGAGTCCACAAGAACAGAAGACTGTTGATGCCATTGTACAAGCTAGGTAATGTTTACACAGCCTGTTCCTCTCAAATTACATGTCTATCAACCGTTTCCTTCTTAATTCTTAAATGCTTGTTTTATTTTCTCTTTTGCAGCAAGCTTCCATTGTCAATTGTATTGGTCGGTGTTGGAGATGGGCCTTGGGATACGATGAAGGAATTTGATGACAACATCCCTGCTAGAGAATTTGATAATTTCCAGGTAGGTATTGGGAGCTTACATATCTTTGGTGCTATTTATCTTATTCTAGTTTTGATATATTACCATCAATAAGACAAGGTTGATAAAGCTTTTTTCCTTCATTTGTTCTCTGTTTCTCAACAGTTTGTGAACTTTACGGAGATTATGTCTAAGAATAATTCCCAAAATCGGAAAGAGACAGAATTTGCATTGGCTGCATTAATGGAGATTCCTTCACAGTATAAGGCCACAATAGAGCATAATATTCTAGGGTAATTTGTCAAGTTCTACCATGTGTTTTTCATCTGAAATTTTCCATTTGCAACAAAAGTTTTACGTATGATTTCTATTTCTTGGGCAGATGTCGGAACGGAAATATTCCCGAGAGAGTTCCGCTTCCTCCTCCTGTGTATGGTGCATATTCTTTTAACAGCTCAAAACCTTCCTGGTCTACCAGTTTTCAACCATCTCGACCTACAAGTTTTCAACCATCTCGACCTACAAGTTTTCAACCATCTCGCCCTCCAAGTTTTCAACCCAGTGTGCCTCCTTATCCTGGAGACACCTCTGCAAGTTTTCCACCCAGTGTGCCTCCTTATCCTGGATACACCCCTACAAGTTTTCAACCCAGTGTGCCTCCTTATCCTGGACACTCTAAACCTGTCAGCACAGCTCCACCTGCTGCAAGTCCTACTTATGATAGCCAGGTAGGAGGCATTACAAATGTTCTGATCACAACAGAATTGACTAATATTAAACTGCTTGGTCAGTTGTGTTTTTCTTATCATTTTGAGTTCTTGTTGACCCCCTTATACGGTTAAAACTTAAAAATAAACTATATCTTAGTATATCCACCATGATAGAATGTTCTTGACCCTTGACTCCCTGAGGCATACTCTCAGAATCTAACTTCTGGTTTAATTTACTATGGAAATTGGAACTTCTTGTTTCAGTAGCTATTATTGCATATATGCTTCTCGAGTAAACTAATAAGAGACTAAAATTATATGTTCTCAACAGCTTTGCCCCGTTTGTGTTAGTAACTCGAGCAACATGGCATTCGGCTGTGGGCATCAGGTAATCTTCTTAATGCATTCTTGTATTCTCTTTTATCTTCATTTTTTTTTTCTTTTCATTTTCTTCTCAAAAGAAATGATTTTTGAGAAATATCAAAATCCTGTAACTTAATCTGTGAATGCCCTTTTTCTTTTCCAGGCCTGTGAAGAGTGCTCAAGAGGTCTCCCAACATGCCCTGTTTGTCAAAGCACAATCCAAACGAGGATAAAGCTCTCCTTCTAATTTTTTTTTTTTTTTTTTTAAAGAATCTCTTTGCTCGTATGCTTTGTAATTCATTATCAAAATGACGTAAACAGTGATTGATGTGTTTGCATTCGGTATCGAGTGATGGCGTTCTCCTTTGTACATTATTTTTTTGGTCTAAGATATATCTTGTTCATTTCTCAATCTTCCCA